CCTGCTGATGAGCCAGGACCGCACGGAGTTAAGACGTTTGCCTGAGGTCACACAGGGAGTCAGTGGCAAAGCCAGGATTCCAAACCTTCGCTCTTAATCACTGTACTAGTGTTCTGTAGTATGACAAGTGACAGATTCAGAACATAAAAGAAAGTGAGAAAATACTTTTGAAACCATACTGAAGAGAAGCTGTAGTCTGTATTTAACTTGGTTGTCACTGTGTCGAGGCCTCATTTGACTTTGAGCATTATTGTTTATAGCTCAGATCAAAGATTGGTTTCTTTATGCTACTCAAGACCAAAGGTGTATCAGCCCATTCAGAATCATCAAAATGATCTTTCTGAAGAGTCAGCAGTGAAGGTTGTCAAAGTTCACGACCTAAGTCCAAAGTAGAATATCATTAGTTAGTTGCTGTCAGGTCGATTCCATCTCATGTGATCTTATGTGTGCCTGATAGAATTATTCCTTAGGGCTTTTAAGGTTAGGATGTCTCTGAAGCATATTGCCAGGTTTGTCTTCAGAAGCGCCTGTGGGAGGGTTGGAACTACCGTCCTTTCATTTAGTAGTTGTGCACTTAACTGTTTGGGCCACCCAGGGATCGGTGCAAAAAGAAGAAGCCGTTAGAGAAAGACAGGAGCCAGGATTTGGCACAACCCTTTTCTACTGGGGTCTGGGGACTGGGAGGCAGCTCTTGGTAACAGAGGGAAGATTGTGAAGATGTGGTGGGAGGAGATCCCAGCAGGGGTCAGACTGAAGTATCAGATGGCTTCCTGTTGAAGATCTGTGGCCAAATGTGGCTAAAACCCCTGCTAGTTCCCCAGAGGAAGTTTGGCCTGGTTCAAAATGGAACACTAGGCCCCTTCTAAAAGACCAGAATCCTGAGCAGGGGAATAGTGAGGGCTGAGGAAGGAGAGCTGAGCAGGTGCTTGTTCTGCTTGTTTCAGATCTGGGAGCTTCATGGGTGCTCAGGGCCGGGGATAAAGGCTGCAAATCCTGTAGTGGGGTACGGTGGGATGGGTGGGTGGTTTGTGGTGATGTGTGATGATGGTTTGTGGGGTGTTGGTGTTGGTAGGGTGTGGGGTGCTGTTAATGTGGTGTGATTGTGGTTTAGGGGTGATGTGGTAGGAAGATGGTGTGTGGGGTCGGGGTGGTGTGTGGTGGAATGTGATGGTGTGGTGTGGTGTGCTGTAGTATGTGGGATGGGGTGGGGGTATATGGTACAGTAGTAGTGGGTGGGGTGTGGTAGG